TAATAAGAGAAAAATCTAGGCGGTCAAAAGGGACTTGCACTTTTTTGGCTTTTATTCCAATTTTTACAAAAATCTTAAAGAAGAATATTTCAAAATATTTCCCGCCAAATGGGTTGCCATTCCCTTTTTTATGGAGAAGCGGTGAATCTCTATTCCCCCTTTACTAGATTGCCCAACATTAAAATGAGGAAGACAAATTTTACTATGTCCCTAAGGGTAAGCTTACTATTCGGGAGCGCATCGCGCTAGCCAATAAAATACTTGAGATATTACGTGCGTTTAATTGTTTCTTTGGCTTTCTAATTGTACCTTTAGTGTTTTGTATTTGTATTTATTATATGTGATTGATTTGCGCATTACTCTATAGGGGAAAGATGGACGTATTCATACTTGCCATCTTGGCGAATGCTGGAAGAAGCAGAAACTCCCTGCACTCAAATTAAGGAAGTTGTCGCCTCAAAGGCATGGTGAGGGAAGATCTTCCTCCTGCCAGTGGTGAAGGAGAGAAAACTATCGCCAGATTAGGCATGAAAGATATTGGACGAGATCGTCGATTGGAAATGATTCCCACTCTTGGATTTACTCTTGTGGAGGATGACGCATCCATGGGGGATGATGTTCTGGTCGTCGAAGAGACTCTTCGTCTAGCTCTAAAGAAGAAGAGTTCTACTTTTACCCGAGCGGATGAGAGTTCGATGAAAATCAAGCGAAAGACGGTCGCTAGGAGCTTTTTGAAATTGGTAATGAGTAACGAAAAGCGAAATTATGACCATTCCTTGGAGCACAAACATCAGTTTCCCAAGAGTGGCTTCGCGTTCAAAGTGTGGATGGTACATATTAAGCGTGCTATTTTTTCCCAAGGTGTTGTTGGGCTGATAGCTATAGAGATCCCTTTGGATGTTTTTGCTGAGAAAAAATAGGTCTGGAGTTCGTCAAAGGTGTCGTTGACTCTGTTCATCTGCAAGGGGCTGCTAATCTTGTGTAGTTATACTATCAGAGGGGTATCAAGGCTAAGCAGCAACTGCACAATCATCTCAACAAGCAAGAAGAGGATAACTTGGTCCAAGAAACCCTCATTAGTGAGCTTGAAACTCTCAAGAAACAAAAGGCCGATGATGACAACTGCATCATGGATCTTAGAGAGAGGCTTACCAAGGTTAAGGTCGACCTCACAAAGGCCATTGAGATATTAAAAAACCTTCGAGTAGAGAAGAAAATGTTTTCTTGGACCAGTGCCAAATTTGAGGAGAGCTTTAACAAAGCCTAACTTGAGATTCGTGGTTTAACTAGTCAATGAAAGATCTCAAATAAATAAGTTGATACTTTAAACTTTAAGTTTGAAGCTAGACAGAAAGATATAGATGAAGCGAAGAAAGAGACAGATAAGGTGAACATTGAGGTAAAAACTTCTAGGATATGGTCCGCAAGATCAGTTTTGTAGCTTGCGAAAACATTTTAGCGCAAGTGAGGTTTTTAAACCCCTCAACTAATTAGGAATTCGTTGATCGGCTACACACCGTCAAAGAGGGCAAGATCTTTAATGTTAATGTGGATAAGTCTCCCACCCTACTCTTTGACACTTCATGCTCCCCTACTAAGGAACCTTCCTCCACAACTGATGATGCTCCAGATTTTCCTACAAAAATTGAAAAGCTAGAATAATGGTTTCTTTTGTGTTTGTTTTTCATAGTTTAGGTATTTATGGGCTGGTTGGCCAACCCACGATTGATGTAACTCACAAAATTTTTATATACATTAACAACGCATTCGATCGGATTATTTATCTACCGCTATTTTAACTTGCTTGTCTATCTTACAAAAGTTGTTTTTTTCTTTTCCCATTGTATTGCTTTTACTCACTTTATGCTGCTTTCAAACGCTGCCTTTCCTCAAGGGGTTCTTGCTCGAACTTTTTCCAAGCTTTAAGATATGAAGAAACCTTTTTCGCAGGATGTTCGCTCGGACTCATACTAGGGTTTGGGGATATGAGGACATTTTTCCCATGGAGAATTTGCCCAGATTCATACTTGGGTTTGGGGATATGGGGACATTTTTCCTATGGAGAATTTTCCCAGATTCAGTTTGAGATTTGGAGATATGAAGATATTCCTCGTAGAGAATTTGCTCATATTTGTTTTGGGGTTGGAGATTTTGACAATATTCCTCGCTTGGACAATTATCCCAGATACATTCTAGACTTGGAGATTTTGGCGATACTCCTCGCTTAGAGAATTTGCTCAAATTTGTTATAGGGCTTAGAGATTTTGATGATTATTTGGCGAAGACATTGTTCTTTTTCACCAAGCTCTTGAATAGTTCTTTGGTTGCTGGGTCCATGATAGGAATATACTTTCATGAAGGTGTATGTAAGGAGGGTAGTAGGGGATTATATTCTACCAATGAGGTGGCATAACTAACTTTTGGAGGGAGAATAGAACACTCTATGAGGTTAGATGAGAATGTAAAGTGTGTGTGGGTATATGGGATATCTTTTGGAATTGGGATCCTTTTGGATTTTGGGTGAGAACTCTGTAGCCTCTCGAATTGCTCTAGAAAACAGTATTTTCCTTCTTGAATGTTTACCTTTTATTGCATTTGTCAGTCCTCACAATAATCTGCACTCCACATTACAATTTTTATTGTTAAGTCTGGAAATTCAGCAAGAGGAATACAAATTATGGTGAAAACTGCAATAAAAGGTGAAAATACTGGTTTCTAGAGCAATTCGAGAAGCTCCAGAGTTCACTACCAAATTCCAAAAGGATCCCAATTCCCAAATATATCCCAGATACCCTCACACACTTTACATTCACATCTTATACTCAGTCTAATCTCCTAAAATATTCTATTCTCCCTTCAAAAGTTAATTATTCCACCTCACTGGTAGAACTTAATCCAATATTACCCTTCTTACATATATCTTCATGAGAGTATATTCCTATCATCCTACTGGTGGTGGTGTGGGTAGAGCACAAACAGAGGAATGAGTATTTATCTAGTGTCTCCACGTGCCCTTCTGAACTAGATCTTGAATCGATTGAACGGTGCTGCGAGTATTCACCACTATTTTTTATTTGAAGCTTCAAAACTCAAAACTCGAGCAATAATTAGCTAGAACAAAGATTAGAGAATGAGAATCAGAATTTACCGTGTGGTCGTGGGTTTGATTCCCATAAACGGCGGCACTAAACTAAATCAGAGTGTGAAGTATAAATATGTTTCCCAAGTGGGTAAAATATGTTGATATAAAGAAGATAAAGAACGCAGTGGTATATAGACCAAATCTCTAAGGTATATTTGATTAGCCTTTGGTATACTGAAGGTGTACAATGGGATGATGAGTAAGGGATATAGATTATGGTTGTGGAGCAAGTTCAGCGAAGCAATAGCAATGGAGAGTAGAATGGGAAAGATGAATAGTAGGGGAGCTAAGACCCCTTTAAATAGAAACTTAGAAATTCCCTCTTAATGCACAAGGCATGAAGCCATATAACTGTTTCCAACCTTATGGACCCCACTAGGTGAGAGGCAACATGACCCACGATGTATAAAGGGTCAAGCGTGCAAGGGAAATATAAGGGAACACTATGAGGGAGTCACATACTTCGTGTGCTGAATAATGGTGGGCCCTCCAGCCAGATCCTAGGTTCATCTTGCCAAACCAGAACATATAGGAGAATGAATTCTCTTAATGTGAATAATCTTTTCCGTTCAGTGATAAATTAAATGTCAAAATTGAAATCATCATTTTGCCTTTTCCATTTCACAAATTTTTCATAAAAATTGTTACCATATATCTATTAATGGATTTTTCACGTGATATGATACAGTAAAATGATATATGGGAAGATCCGATTTCGATTATTTATCACATACTTCTAACCATTCTTGAGCTCCTGCTGGCTCCCACGCTGAGAAACCGCCTTTCTTACCCTACAATAATCGAATTGGAGATTTGATATTCAAAGTGAATCACGTACAAAAAATAGAAATAAAAAATTAGTGTGCTCTAAGCAAACAAGTTAATTGCTTCCCATGTTACTATGATGGAAACCAAAATTATGCAAATAGAAGGGCCATTGGTTAATTAATTAAAAGCATATGGATGTAAATTTAATAAAACTTGCCTGAAGCGACAAAAGGAGATTAACCGAATCAAATAATTTTTCATCATCCATCTTCTCACCAACTATTTCTGATGGCAACATTGATAAAAGTAGACAGCACTGAAACACAACATGATTTGTCTAGTCTTAACTAATAAGTGAAACCAAGTTCAAGAATTAATTTACTTCATTACCTTCAAACATTCTGCAGTGCAATCAGAAACCTGCCATCCATTATCTTGATCAGAGAAGGTCCATGATCCTTTAGAAATGTGACGAAACATTCTTTTAAAGTCTCCTGAAGGGTTTTCCTTAACCTATGGAATGTGAACATTAATTCATTACTGCTAACTAGAGCTAGCACACAAATATAATTGTTCAACAATTAATGAAAACGGAGAAATCAATCACTTACAAATATGTTATGGAAAATGAATTGAGGCTTACTTATGTTGTTTATAAGATCAATCGTGTTTTTCTCCTCTTTTTCATTGTCTAGGGATATCGATTAGTATTAAGAAAATAGTGCTACATTAAAAAATATTGTGAATTTGTAGGTAGTTAGTTCTACGTGAATATGTTTCTTAGTTCGAGTTGGAATGTATATTAAACACACCTGAGATTTCTTGAGAAAGTCATGTCCTTTCAAAAGTGTAGGACCAATTTCGTCAATAAGGTTAGTGGCAAGCAGAGCTTGAACAACTAATCCAACATCCCATGATTGGCTACCAATACCCTACAACAAATAAATAAGATGAAGTGCATTTTTTAATATCCCATTGATTACACATTTTGAAAAAGCTATACACAAAAAGAGAGAGAGAGGGTTATACTTGCATGGTCATTCCATCTTCTGAAAGCCATAAGTAATCAGGGATCCTTGCAAGATGCTTCTTGAAAGCATCTCCATTTGGATCTTCCACCCAACAAGCAAGCATAAACAAAACCTGGCAAGTAAATAAATTTATAGAATGTTAATGTTTATTTTATAATGTTTAGAATTATATGTGTCTTTAATTTTATTTTTATTGTAGTTGATGCATAGGCATATGCGATATGATACCCACCTTCTCCACACTTCCACTGTCCATGTATCGACCATTCTCATCTTCGTAATGGATATGTTTCATTGTTATCTGAAGGGCCTTCTCTCTTACCATATTGTCGAAGGGCCAATGCGTAAGAAGTGGTTCAGAGAACATGTATAGACTATCCCATAATAGATCTTGTATGAAGTGATGAGGATAGTGAAGATCTTCCTGTGATACGTACATATGACATGAATTAACAATTCCTCCACGATCATATAGTTTGGTACGTCATCTACTGATGATAATATATAGATTGATCTATTCTCTCACCTTTGCACAGGCATGACGTGCTTTTTTCCAATTAATTTTATGGTAGGGTTGAATAAAGATTTCTTCTCTCAACTGAAGAACAAGTGGTGTGATTGGACCCACAAATCTCTTCCCATATAAGTAAGACATAGGCAAGTAAACTAGCCGACAATAACACCACATTTTAGCTGCATTAATTCAGATCACAATCGCATAAAAGAGAGAGAATTATATATGCTATATAAATGTTTACTTAAAACTCGTGTTTACTTGTTATTTATGCATAGTTAGCGTTTACCGGTCCAAATTAAAAATGGTGTGCAACAAGATCTGGACAATTATAATTTTCGATAAATAAACACTCAATTTAGTAATTTTTATATTAATTTCATGTATTAATTATTATGTTATTGCATACATAATAACCGGACAAGATTAGATATATCATAATCCACCTGGATGCATAGGAAGAAAAGAAGGAAGCATCCAAAACTCTGGAGGCATTGGGTTGACTCCCGACCAGTCGAATAAACCTAGTATCTGCAGTTGCATGATTGACTCATGTAAGTGACGTACAACAACATACACGCATGAAAAATAAAAAGAAGAAAAAACATGTTAATAAAAAAAAATATTTGCATAAATAATTACAATATGTTACAGTTAATATATATATATATATATATATATATATGGAGCAGGATATTCTTATATCGGTGTAAGAGTTAAAAGTCTTACACCTAATATTGACCATTGATCCACTTGTATCTAATGGCTCACATTACTAAAAAATTAGAACCCTTAGATATAAGTGGAATCAACGGACAAGATTGAGAGGGTAACTTACACTGGTGTAAAATGATCCTGACCCTATATATATTTATGTGTGTGTGTGTGTGTGAGAGAGAGAGATATGATCAACTTTCTCCGATGTAAGAATAAAAAGTCTTAATACCACATCTTAACTGTTGATTTCCGTGCATCAAACGATTAATATTTATTGAGTCATTAATTATTACGAGACCCATGTATGTATACCTCAAGGGGTGAAGTATGTCATTTTAGGAATACTCCTAGGAGCAATGGTACGAACCAAGGCTCTATATGAGTTTCCTAGGTGATAGAAAGTGGGGGGATGGTGAATAACGGCTACATAAAAATACTATTATATTAAGGTTTTATTAATCTCATGTTAAAGTAGATAAGTTATCTCATGTCATAGAGATAAACTTGTGGGCTCCACCACCTGAAAAATAAAAAGAAAAGAAAAGAAAAAGGTGGCATAATTATCGAAGAGTGTGTAGGAGAGAAATTTATCACATGTAACATAAGAGTAATTTCTCTCATTATATTATGGGGAAAATGTTTTGTTCTCCCATACCCATTGACATAAAAATATAAAAAAGAATTTTCATTAACATTGAACCCCTTATATTATCCCTGACCTTCATATGTCTGTCAGTTGAAATGAAGATACTATCAAAAACTATCCACAAAAAAAAAAAAACTATATGAGTAGACCATTATATTATATATATTAGAAAAACATACCGAAAGCCAAGTTTTCCCCCACGACGGTATATATGTTACGCCATCATGATCTTGAATCCACTTGCGAGCTCTAGCACACGCAGCATCTTGACCTCCATCGGGCCCTTCTCCAAGAATGCGCATACATATGTAGTTGAGTGAAGTACAAAACATAGTGCTATGTCCTTCTAAGTGTAGTCCCCACCCCCCATCTTCGTTCTTCAATTAATAATTTAATATACAACAATGCTAATCATTCACTAATTTTACATCATGGTTAATTGGGTATGTACGCATATAGTCTGAAATTGAACAAGTGTACCTGGTGCCAATAAATATAACGAAGCATCTCTCTGCGGTACTCTTCTGGGAATACTGAATCAAGATGGCCTGTAATGTACATGCAAAATACCTGCAATATTTTATGGCAAGTGCATGCAAAATTTATGTTCATTAGTGCATCTGAACTTGAACTTCCTCAAAATTCCGGTGCATATCAAATTATTGATAACAACGTCTATGTAAAATATGTGCTTTTATCTTTTTTATAACTATGTACTCTGATGAGTAAATAGTTATAATATTAAAATTGTATATTTTTTCCACTTTTTCACGTCACCCGAAAATTTTTGAAGAGAAAAAACTACAAATTTAATATTATAGGAGTATATATTTATAAAAAGTAAAATAATATAACTTATAGGGATATAATATTGTAACAAACAAGTCAAGTTACTACCAATCAATCTCACTGTTAGATTGGTAGTAACGATCTGACGATCCTCGTTTAATCCCTAAATAGCCCTGTCTTCGCTTCTCTCTCTTCCCTCTCCCTCCTTCTCTCTCTCTGACTATACTCTCTAACGCAGCCGTCGCTACCCATAGCCTCCGTTGCCACGCCGTCGCTGCATGTAAGAACCTGCACCGTTAATTAAGGAAGTTAATTAATTATGAGAAATTAGGAAATAATTCCATAATTGACCTTAATAATTATTATGAGGCTTAATTAATTAGAGAAAGTGAGTATTAATGTTGAAAGTCGCTTTTCTGACGAAAAGTGCAGATACCGGTTCTGCTCGTGGTATAAGTGCGTACCGGTGAAGTATCCCGGAAAATTATGAAAAGTGAGTATATATTACTAGAATAATATGTAGGACTGTAATTTCAAGTTTCAAGTTAAAATAATGAGAACTGATGCCAGAACTGATACTGGCTATGGAAAAGCGCATACCGAAAAGGTGCTGCGAAAAATAAAATAAAAATATGATAATTCTTGTAAAATTGAGTAGGTTCAGAATCCTGAGTTTGGGATTAAAATGCTAAGTGTAACAATTAATGATAATACTGTGTGATTAATACTTAAGTGATTATATATACATTAGTTGGCACTAAACCCTAGGCCATACTAGTCTTCTACGTGAGTCTTTGGGAGGCTGGTTAGCTGGTGCAATTTTCGTTTGGTCTTCTTCTTCATTTCATGACCAAGTTGTCACCTTTACTTGATTTCTTCATCTTTGAGCATCTATACACTTGAGAGCTTGCATGGTGAGGGAGTGTGAGTATACATTCTGAGTTTCCAGCCACTGTGAGTTGGTGAGGGTGCTGACCTTGTGTGGTTTGGGTGTTGGGAAGCCTTGGTCATGGTATTTTAAGCTTCAAAGTGTCACCTTTGTGAAGAAAGAACTCATCTTGTGTGCCATTTTCGTGCACCTTCTTGGTCTGCATCTTTGGGAGCTTCAAGTGAGCTCCAGGAGCCTTCCTTTTCTGAGTTTGAAGCCTTGGGTAAGTTTTGAACCTTTGATCATGAGTTTTAATGATTAAAAGATATGTCTTGGCATGTTTAATGAGTTAAACAAGTAACCAACTGGTATGTGGACTTAAAACAGAATAAAAATGCATACTTTAACGTTTGGAAGTGTTAAAAATGGAACCTTTGATGGATATCTTCGTGAAATGCAGAAACTGCATTCTTTCGCAAAATATCCGGATATGGATATCCAGATATGATATTCGGATATTGATATTCGGATATGTCCCTGACAGATATCCGGATATTCTGGGTTTTCGAAGAACAGTAGCTGCACTGTTCATACAGAAGGCTATTAGGGGTTTGTGGACCCTAGATTGATGAAGTTGAACTTTTGTAATAATTAAACTAAGTAAGAATATATGTGATTAAGGGCTTGTGGCTTTGTGAGAAGCCTAAAGACATAAAACGTAATGGAAAGGCGTTGTCTTTGTGATGTATGCTTGAAGTGCATGTTTATTGATATATTATTAGTCCATATCAGATTGTGATTCTGCTGTGTTTGGACTTTGAGCATTGGTTGGACTCTTGGCTTGGATTGTTAGCTTGCAAGGTAAGCTTCCGTGTCCTCGGTTTAGCCATTGTGTAGTTCCACCATACCCCATGGGGGAATGGTTTATATGCATGCTGTGTTACATGCTTTGATATTTGAAATGCTTTTGAGCTGATATGTGCAATGGCTTATGATATGTATGTGGTGTTCGCCCGATGGGATGTGATCCTAAGGGTAGGTACGGCAGGGCGCGTACTGTGTGGGTAATAAACATATTCCTGCATTTCATTGGCCAGTAGATTATAGTATTGACACACATGACATGAGTATCTGCTGCATTCCACTATTTTGGAAATTATATTGTTAAATTGCTTTTGAACTTATATTGCACATGTAATTGAGCTTGGGTGGAAGATCCTTGAGGACCCCTTGTCTAATTGAGATTTCTTGTTTAGAGATCTCACCCCACGTTTGGGAACGCTTATTTCAGGTTCAAGTAATATGGGGGCTGATGCCTCTAGCAGCAGGAGGCCAGAGCTTAGTTGATATTGATGTTATATGCTGACATGTTGGTTGCTGGATTTGTCTGCTGTTTATGTTTTCTGCCTTTATTATTATGATGTTATTGTTGAGACTTCTGTTGGGCTTGTGCCTTATTTGGGTGAGCATGAGGTTTGTCCATGCCACTTTATGTTAGTACTTTGAGTTGAGTTGTATAACTTAGTAGGTTGTCCGGTCTACGTGTTGTAGTTCCGTGACTAGAGACATATCGATGTTATTTATTTAATTAGGTATTTCAGTTAGCTGTCTTTTGCAATTTACATACAGGCCATGTTTTATTAATTGATTAAGTAAGCAAGTTGGTAATGATAATGACGTCATAATTGAAAAGAAAAAGATATTCCGCATTTTTAATTAAGTGCAGCTTAATACGATGATATGATAACATTACCGGATATATACAGGGTGTTACACTGCATCCTCGTCATCGTCGCTCTGCCGTTTATCCCTCTGAGTTGTAAACCCTTATCTCTACCGCTGCTGCAGTCTATGGTTCTGATTTAATTGATTTCCATAGCCCCTCTCTCTTCCCTTCTCTATTTGCACATATTTGTGATTGATTTTATGTTAGCTATCCCCTTGTGATGAGTATGTTGTTGAATACAAAGTTTGCACTTTTTATAATACGAACAACCCTTCTCTTGTGAAAAAACTATGGGCAGCGGCGGAACATGAATCTTGTAATAAATTAAAAGAGCAATGGAAAAATGATAATCTCATAGATTAAAGATTTGCATGATGGCACATTCATCAAATGAATTAGAAATAAAAGAACCAAATAAACTGTCAGAAGACCGAACCACCAATATTACTAAACGATATCAGCCACAGATCCTTTATTTAAGATTAATATCGGTTTAGCATACTACATATAACAGAGATTGCAAATTATATGAATATTTGAATAAATGGATTCATCCCTTTGAATCTTTTATCACAGGGAAGAAAAATATCGGGGATGCAGCGACGGCGTCGCGATGGAGGCTATGGGCAGCAACGGCGGCGCGACAGAGGCTATGGATGGCGGCGGCGGCGTTTGAGAGTATAATTAGAGAGAGAGAGAAATGGGGAGAGGGGAGAGAGAGAAGCGAAGACAGGGGCTATTTAGGGATTAAACGAAGACCGTCGGATCGTTACTACCAATCTAACGGTGAGATTGACTGATAGTAACATTGGTTGTAACTTATATCCTTTAAAAGAATAAATTATATTTTCTTAAAATAAATAATTATCTTAATCTTTTAAAAATATAAATGTTACCGGTTTGAGCCTCTAATAATAAATAGGGAAATCAAATATAATGTTGTTGGCAAAAAAAATTTATACCCTACTGACACAGAAAAACATGGGTCCCACTTGAAATAAAAGAAAAAAAAATATTGACACTGCTTTTAGTGGTGTTTGCAGGACACAAACTTTTATACATTGTATTTGGTTTCCCGATCTTTTATGTCTATTTGATCTTTAATTTTACTATTTTCAGGATATACAATTGATTCTTGGAAAAGACAAATTCAGTGTTAAAAATTAATTAAAATTAATTAAAAGATATTCAATTGTGTCATTTTAATTAAAATTACTGTATTTTATTAAAAAAAAAACAAAAATCATAATAGGAGAGAGTAAGAGATTTTTTTTTTAAATTTAAATATTAAATAAATAATAATAATTTTAATTAAAATAACTATCATTTAAAAGGACCAATATAAAACCTTAATATATTTGTTATTCAAAATTCAAAATTTATATTTAGTATACATAAAAGTTGAAGATTAAGATAACCTTATGAATCTTAATAAAATATATATAATAATGTTATAAAGTAAAGAAAACAGGGCCTACTAAATAAAGTAACTTTACTTCTGCCGTTAGAGGATCATAATTAATAATTACCCATGAAATAAAGTATTTATGATACTGACCAAAGGAGGAAGATAAAAGAGTGGACCAGCTACTTGAGCAGGCCAATGGCCATCAGTAGCTTGCAATGCTGATAGGTAATGGGTGGCCCTTCTTAACGCGGCTGTTGTATTCTGGTACGTAATCTCTCCGTCCTCTATCTTCGGACTATCTATTATTTGTCGGAAGTTCTTTTCTCTTAGAAACTGCATCGACCAGACTAAATTATCAGTTTAACCGCTAAACATATTGCAAAATGGAAAATGAATACTTATATCTAAGGCCAATAGGCAATACGATATACGGTGTTATTAACATGACAAAAACAACAACATGCATGATGGTATTATATATCGTATATTGTAGAGATACTTTTAAAGTTAGATAAAATTTAAAAACATGAATTTAAAAGAAAAAAATATTTTTAAAATTATAAGGTTGATATCTAACTATGTTCGCGGTTTGAATTGGATCGGTTTTGAAACAAAAATTATTTGATCTAATCTCTTCGGTCTAATTCATTTGGTTTAGAATTTTTTTTTTTAAATTCAATTCAATTCATTCCAATTTTATTTTGTTTGGATTGGATCGGTTTTCGATTTTTCAAAAATCCTAAAATTTCAGCCATACAAATCACTAGTTATTTATAAGCAGAAGTTAGATCAAACATGTTTTGAAAAAAACTCTTATAATTAAAAGCTCTTTTTTTATAATGAAGAAAAAAAGCTAAAAGTCAAAAGCATCTAGGATGAGCTTTTTTTTAAGCTTTTATCAACTTTTCTTGAATTATGTGTTTTTTTTTAATAAAAAGCTATACAGAGATATAGAGAGAGAGAGATTTTTCTTGAAATATATGCTTTTAAATAATTATTATTTTTTTTTTGATAACATGCTTTTAAATAATTTTAAGTTAAAAAATTTATGTAATCACCAAACAGTTTTTAGTGCTTGTTTGGATCTTCTTCGTTTTTAAGCTAGAAGTTAATTATAAGAAAAAACTAGGCTAAATAAATTTTGAGAAAAGTTCTTATAATGAAAAACACTTTTTTTATAATGAAAAAAAAAAACCTAAATGCCGAAAGCTTCTAGGAGGAGCTTTTTTTTTAAACTCTTATCAATTTTTGTTGAATTGTGTGCTTTAGCTAATAAGTAGATTCTAGCTAAAAAAAAAGATTCAAATTTTATTTTATTTTTTTTAACTTTATTTTATAAGTGGTTTATAACTTTAAAAAAATATATAGAATCCAAACTGAGTCTGAAAAAGGAAAAAGAAAAAAGACACCTGAAAGCGCCAGAGAAGATCAGAACAGGCCTTGACACGGAAGCGATTGTTATAGAAATTTAGACGGGCAGCTTCAACCTGGGCTCGCTCCTTGGGGCTTCCTGCCTCAGGATCGAACTCCCATGTTTGCCTTCCCACGAAGTTGTTTGTCGAGAAGATATATGGGTCATTTCCACCGTCTGCTATCTTCAACCTCCACATTTTCTTTTTCTTTTTCTTGTTGGTGTTTCTTTTAGCCAAAGATGATTGCCCTATATGTACGTAGATGTAGAGTTTAAATAAGCAGATAGATTTCAGTCCTTTTTATTTTGGTAGATACGTGGTGTAAGCACACCGTTTTTCATGAGTCCACTATCGCTGCATGATTCCTACCCTGTCTCACGAAACACGACAAATCTTTCTTTGAAAATAAATTCAAAACAAAGAAACAGGTGCATACATTGATCAACTTTACATGTATTAAAACATGAGAAGGGTTATATTTACAAATTTTTATAGAAAAAAAAAATTATAATAGGAGAGAGTAAGAGGTTTTTTTTTTAAATTTAAATATTAAATAAATAATAATAATTTTAATTAAAATAACTATCATTTAAAAGGACAAATATAAAACCTTAATATATTTGTTATTCAAAATTCAAAATTTATATTTAGTATACATAAAAGTTGAAGATTAAGATAACCTTATGAATCTTAATAAAATATATATAATAATGTTATAAAGTAAAGAAAAAAGGGCCTACTAAATAAAGTAACTTTACTTCTACCATTAGAGGATCATAATTAATAATTACACTACGTTATCCCATTTTTTTGGAGGTTACAAGGAATTGAACACAACACCCTACACTACACACACTCCTAACACACACACCCCACACCACTAGGCTAACCCTAGTGGTGCCACTACGTTAACCCATTAAAACATATAAAACACAAATACAGAACATTTATTGATCAGTTTCTCTACTCATTTCCGGTATCCAATCCAAGAAGCAAGCACAACTCATGCGTGACTTCATATCTTTTTTAGAAATTTGTATATATACCATATAACCCCACGTTTTTTTATAACAACATCAAAACACGTTTTTTATAACAAGAATGGTTTGTGGCGAGAGAAGAATTATTTTAAGGGTGTATTCAATTAAAATTTTAAAAAATTATTTTTGAATACAAAACGATTAATATTGAATTCTGGATTTTAAATAATTTAAAAAAGTCAAATATTAATATATTATTCATTTAAGACAACTAAGATTTTAAATACGAAATAATTTTTTTTTTTGGGTATTCAAAAACTTGCTAATTTTAATATAATTTTTTGTTAATGTAAATATTTTTGTGACTTCTTAGTAATACATATAAATGTTACATATCCTGTTTACCAAAAAATAAATAAATATTATATCCTGTCTCTTAGTCTGATCACAACCCATAAGATTTCTCTAACAACATAGTGTGTGCCTTATATTGTTTTGAGTTCCAGTTTATGCAGTTATAGTACACTTGGATTTCAAGCATTGGCTTCAAAGTGAAGGTTTTTGCATGATTTACCTTTCAGTTCATGTATTTGGATTATGTAACTGCTATAAGCATTTTACTTTGTGCGTTTGTTTGTTTTAATCATTGCATGCATTGTTTGGATCATATGATATTGGTGGGGTGGAGTACTGTTATTGCCGGATGATTTTTTAACAAATCTATTAGGTTTGTACTAAATTTAATTTATTGAACTAAATTTATATTAAATAATATATTAACACAAGTAAATTTTTAAATAAAAAAATTATATATTTATTTGGTATAAACATAAATAAATGAATTCGAACCTTAAAATAAAATGTTAACTATATATAAAAAGTTATTTTACATAACTATTATTATGTTGTGTCTTTCTTTCTACTTCTCCTTTTTTTTATTAATATCATTAGTGCACAATAAATTATATGAGTTGCATATTATATGCAACTTATAACATATTTCTTATTCATAATATTATTGAAGAAGAGTTTGTTAGAATTGGGTCTTTTGATATTACCACATTCAACTTTAGTAAAATGTCATCATCTAATCTCTTAAAGTTTTGGGTTAAAATGTCGCTTATCATAATATTAGAGCTTCAGTAACTACGAGGTCATGAGTTTGATCCTCCTCGCCCCCACACATTCAGGTGAAATTAAGGAGAGTGTATTGGATCGGGATTTCAAAGGATTTTAATGGATTATTTTTGGACAAAAAAAATGTTGGAATTCAATTAGAATTTTAATGGATTGAAAAAATTCACTGGCAAGATTTCTACAAGAGGACTTGAAACCTTAGACAAGCAAGATTTCAAGCATGTGCAAGCTGGAAGATGACGTTTTGACGTCTAGGAGAGCATTAAAATGCTCTAATGAAGGAAACAACAAGAACTCACTGGAGCAGAACGTTTTAGCGGCCAAACAGAGCGCCAAAACGCTCCAGTAGCAACAAATCACCCTTCGAAGAGGGCGTTTTGGCGCCCAACAGCGCGCTAAAACGCCCATAGGCAGACAACAATACACTGGGAGGACGTTTAGGCCCACAAATAGCACGCTAAAACGTCCATGCACGAACCAATCAGCCCAAGATTTGATTTGATTTGCCAATGGATACTTATTTGAAATGTTTTGAATTAAAACAGAAACATATCAATCTTGATTTATTAATTGATAGAGATCCATGGGAAGATTTGATGAAAGATCATAACAAGGATTCGAAGCTTAAATTTGTCACCCAATATGCAAGATCTTAAATAAAAAAAGGAGGTAATTGAAGATTTGATTGCAAATTTGATAAGGATTCGTTGGGAGATTCAATAAAGGATACAACTTCAATGGTTATAAATAAGGAGTTGAGGATCAGACCAATTCACAAGTCCAGAGAATTACATAGAAACCTGAAGGAGGAATCCTGTTGCGGAGTGCTAGAACATTGAGGAACCAAGTCAACATCACACCAATGGAGGCTTGGGGTTCTCTTTTCTTTACTATTGTTTTTGAATTCAGTATGCTAGGCTAAACTTTTATGTAGTTAGGGGTAGATGGAACCTAATTGAATCTTTATGTTTAGGAATTCAATTGTCTCTGAATTATTTTCTTTTTATAATTGAATAAATTTATCTGTCTTTAATGCTTTCTATAAGTTTGCTCCTTATAAAATGATTTTGGGGAATTGTATGACAATAGGGATGTTGGTGCATGAACCCCGACTTGATAAATTTATCACAATCACTGTGATATAGGGATAGACATAGGGTAATTGTGCAATCTAGGAATTCTTGATCTTAATGCATGTTTTCTTGGGGAATAACTGGGGAACTAGGGTTCTTCTGAGATCACATAGATTTAGAGTAACAAGGAATTGAGCCCTAATTAACTTAGAAAGAATTGATTGGCAATGTTTTAAGAAAAGATTCTTGACTGTTTAATTCAAAACATATTGAGGAGATTGGGGGAAGTCGAAACCCTAACTACGCTTGTTTTTAATTCATAATCAATCATCATCTTTTTCAATTGTCTTTTGAATTCTGTAATTTTAATTGCATGTTAATTTTTTTCAATTCAAATTCTCTTCATCTTAATCTTGATTGTCCAACTAAATTGCGGTTAGCGAACTAGTGCTTGAAAATCCGATCCTCGTGGGAACGATCTCGTACTCCGGTACACTTTATTAATTTACGAACGGTGCACTTGCCGAGTCGCAACAAGATTTTTGCGCTGTTGCCAGGGATTTGATCCTTCAACATTAGAAGTAACTAAAAACTTTTTAGATTGGACGTTTTAATTTTCTGCACTTTAAGCATACTGCAAAAACATTTTCTGCATAAAAAAAAATTCAGCATATTTTAATTTTCTGCACATCTTTTCAATCTTAGTTTATGAGAGGTACTCTTAACCCGCGAATCTTGCAGTTTGATCCTAAGATAGAAAAGACAGAAAGGAAACTCAGAAAAAGCGCAAGGGAAAGGAAGGCACAAGAAGCAAAGGAAGCCTAAAGTTCAACAGAACCAAAGGAGGAAACAATGGCTGACAACAATGTAGTTCAGAACCCTCCAAGGACGTTGGGAGATAACCTGCCCCAGCTCGAGTTCCACAGACAACGAGCATTGTTAGACCAAATGTGGATGCTAACAACTTCGAGCTTAAGCCAGCATTGTTGCAATTAATTCAAAAAGATCAGTTCGCTGGAGGAAGCACGAAAGATCCTTATATTCATCTTGATAACTTTCTACTTTACTGTGATACATTAAAGATGAGTGGAGTCTCACGTGACGCCATCTTGCTCAGATTATTTCCATGCTCACTAAAGGATGACGCAAGAGCTTGGCTGCAGTCACTGCCTGAGGGAAGCATCACCAATTGGGATGATTTAGCAATGAAATTCTTGGCCAGATTCTTCTCAGCTTCAAAGATGGCAAGGCTCAAATCAGAGATCACTGCTTTTGAACAAAAAGAAAGTGAATCTTTGTATGAGGCATGGGATAGGTTTAAAGGACTACTCCGAAAGTGTCCTCAACATGGCATTGAAGCATGGGAGAGAGGAAGAATCTTCTTCCAAGGAATGACGCCAAGCACAAGAACATTGGTGAATGCTGCAGTAGGAGGATCATTGAAAACAAAAACTCCAGAGGAAGCATTGGAATTGTTGGAATCTTTAGCTTCTCAAGAGTATGACAATGCTCCAGTCACACAAAGGAGAGCGGGAATCATGAAGCTTTACGGATATGATGCAATCTTGGCTCAGAACGAACAAATACTGCAAATTAATAAGAAACAACAAGAACAATTAGATGCTCTTACAGAGCAATTTGCTACTTCTCAAGTTTCTTCTGTTAGTAGTACTCAAATAATTTGTGGCATTTGTGCAGATGCTCATGCAACTGAAGATTGCGACTACATGAGAACAACTGAAAAGGTTGAAGTCAATAGAATCAGGTACGATCAAAAGAACCAGAACAATCCGGGGAGGAATCAATATGGTAATAACTATAATCAAGGGTGGAAAAATCCTAACCGACACCCCGGGATAAGTTACAAAACAAATCATCAAATGAATCCTCCCTTGCCACTGCAACAACAGTCCCCACCTCAAGGCAACACTTCAGAGTGGGAGGAAGCTTTTGCACAACTATCCAAGACCACATCAGACTACATTCAGAATGCAAATGCTTTCAGAGATGAGACAAGAGCTTCATTTCAGAATCAATAAGCTTCTATCCGGAACCTGGAAACTCAAATCGGCCAGTTGTCAAAACAATTTACTGAGAGAACTCATGGCACCTTCCCAAGTAACACAGACACGAACCCAAATGCGCAATGTAATTCAATTGTCACCAGAAGTGGAATCGTGATCTAACCTGTGGAAAAGCCGCCAGTTGAAAAGAAGAAAGAAGCTGAACCTGAAGCTGAGAAGGAGAAAGAAGAAGATGCATGATATGCGCCTAGCATATAAGGAAATCTGAGCCAAAAAGAGAAAGAATGTTGATGAAATCTTGAGAAAAAGAGCAAGAATCACTGTTAATTTGTCAAAATCTTTATCAAGGATTGAATACTGATTTTATGCTAATTTTGTAGGAAAAAGCAAACAAACTGGAGCAAAACGAGGATTTTGCAAAATCAAAATTCACGCTCAAAGCGTGGATCTCACGCTGGCAGCGTGGAAGGAATTTTTCAAACAGAAGCGTTCACGCTTGAAGCGTGAATTTGACGCTGAGAGCGTTAGTTTGGGAATTCTCAGACCCCGTGTTTTGCAACGGGGCAATTTTGGAAAAGAAAAAAAAAAGATTTAAAAATCAAGTTTTTGATTCAGCAATGAGATCTCTATCCAAATTAGAGATAAGATTAGATGATTTGTGATAAGATTGAATCAAGATACAATAAAGATTTGAAATTCTAATTTATCAATCAAATCTCCAAGGTTGTTACATGAAAAAAAGGAAACAAAGTTTAAATCAAATACAAACTCTTGGATGGGCTCAATGCCGGTGGTTATAAATAAGGAGCTTGGGAGCACAACAAAGGAACCAATTCACAACTCGGAGCAAGCAGAGGGTGACTGAAGATCAAGAATTCTTCTCCATTCTTTCCAATAATTATAGTTTTTATGCTTTCTTTTGAATATTTGTTTATGTCAGATATGACTATGTCTGGCTAAGTTCTTTTATTGTAGTTAGGGTCACAAACCCTATGTGAACCCTTGTTGTGACAGATTGATTTAAATTATTTTACTCGTTTATATAAATTTCTTTATCTAATCTTGTGCGTATTTGATATTTTCCTTATTAAACCTGATCAATTTGATAGTTGAAAATAGTTTGAGGGTTTGAACCTTAAATAGGGATATTGGGGTTTCTGATCTCGAAAGGAGATAAGATAACTATTGGTATGCATACTAGGGATAGATGTATATTTAATTGCAGATGTTGGAATTACTGTGTTCATTGCTTAATTCTCATGAGGGGTTACTAAGGGATTAGGATTCTAAGTGAGGTTAAAGGGTTAAGTTACCAAGGGATTGGGATTTAATTATTAATATATTGAGATCATAATTATCTGAGAAATTATATAAATAAGTATTTTGTATCAATCCAAAGTAATAAGTGGGGATCATAGGGAGAGTGTTCCCTAACTGCAATTCTTTCTCATATTTTCAAAACCAACTCCATTATTATTCTTCTTTTCATTCTTGAAAATACAAAAACTCAAAAATAAGTCTTTACTTTTATGGTTACTAAGATTCAATTTAATTTTCCCAACAAAAGATCAAGTTTTTCAACTTAAAGTGACTGATTATTTTAGTACTTGGTTTTCAATCCCTGAGGAGACGATCTTTCTTACTACTTTACTACTTATGCGAAACGGTATACTTGCCGGATAGCATCAATGCAGGAGAAGCTAAAAGGAGCAATTCAGAGAAGAAGCTGTTCAAATGGGAGAAAATGAAAGCTCTGGACCGGCAACCAAAAGCGGCAGACCCGTCTCCCTATGCAAAAGTTCCATACCCTCAGCGGTTGAAGCAGGAAATCCAGAAACAACAATACACCAAATTTCTGGACATCTTCAAGAAGCTGCAAGTTAACATTCCTTTCGTAGAACCCCTGGAAAGCATGCCCAATAATGCGAAATTCATGAAAGACCTTCTGTCAAAGAAACGCAAGTTGAAGGAGTGAGAAACAGTGGCCCTAACTAAGGAATGCAGTACAATCATCCAAAAGAAACTTCCTCCCATGCTGAAAGATCCAGACAGCTTTAGTATTCCTATTGTCATAGGAAATATTGAAGTAGGAAAAGCATTATGTGATATGGGAGCAAGTGTAAATATGATGCCACTTTCCATGTGCAGAGCTCTTGGAATCAAAGAGCTAAAGCCGACTACGGTTTCTCTCCAGTTAGCTGACAGATCGATCAGACGACCAGATGGGGTAATTGATGATGTTTTAGTTAAAATTGACAAATTTATCTTCCCTGCAGATTTTGTAATTCTGAATATGGAAGAAGATGTCGAGATTCCTCTATTGCTTGGAAGGCCATCCTAGCCACTTCAAAAGCAATGATCGATGTGGAGCAAGGGAAACTGATGTTGAGGATGAACGAAGAGACAGTCACCATTGATGTCTTTGAGTCAATGAAGCATCCAACTGATGGAGGAAACTGTTTTCTGGTTAACATAATTCAAGAAGCAGTTGATGACGCGATGAAAGAGGAGAGTTCTCCACTAGAATTAGAACAAATCAACGAAGAAGCTGAACTTGCTGATAAAGAACCAGTGGTGGAAGAACTAGAAATAAAGAAAGATAACATCCCTCTTAGAGCACCGAAGGTGGAGCTTAAGGTGTTACCTTCAAATCTGAAGTATGCTTTCCTTGGTGACAACAACACTTATCCAGTCATCATCAATATTGCGCTATCAACCAAGGAAGAAGAAAAACTTCTCAAGGTGCTGAAGAAACACAAAGCTGCAATAGGATGGTCCTTCTCCGACTTAAAAGGTATAAATCCTTCCTTTTGTACTCATAAGATTCTAATGGAAGATGATATTAAACATGTGAGGCAGCCGCAAAAGAGACTCAATCCAACCATGAAAGAGGTTGTGAGGAAAGAGGTAGTTAAACTATTAGATGCAGGAATGATCTATCCTATATCTGATAGCGCATGGGTAAGTCTAGTAGAAATTGTACCAAAGAAAGGTGGAGTCACCGTGGTAAGAAATGAAAACAATGAGCTGATTCCAACAAGGACAATCACCGGGTGGAGGATGTGTGTTGACTATAGAAGACTTAATGCAGCCACTCGGAAGGACCGCTTCCCAATTCCTTTCTTGGACCAAATGTTGGAGAGACTAGCTGGTCATGCCTTCTACTGCTTCCTGGATGAGTACTCGGGTTACAACCAAATAGCAGTAGCTCCAGAAGATCAAGAGAAGACAACATTCACATGCCCTTACAGAGTATTCGTTTACCGGAGGATGCCCTTCGGCCTGTGCAACGTGTAACACCATGTGTATACCCGGTTTGTTATCATGTCATCGTATTAAGCTACGCTTAATTAAAATTGCGGAATAACTTTTTCTTTTCAATTATGACGTCATTAATATTAACCAAGTTGATTACTTAGTTCTCTTTCAAAACATTGCATGTATGTAATTGCAAATAAACAACTATCTATACTGAAATACCTCATGATATAAATAAGCGAGTATCTAAGTCACGGATCTACAACACATAGTCCGGACAATATCCTGATACATTTAACAACTCAAATCTAAAATAAGAAAGTCAACACAAAGTGGCATGGACAATCCTTATGCTCACCAAATAAGGAAACAAAGCCCAACAGAGTATCAACTCAAACAACAACATAAGGATAACAGGCTAAAACAACAATCCATAAATATAAGCTAGAAACAAAAGCAGCAGTCAACTAAGCTCCGGCCTCCTGCTGCCTGAGGTCTCAACCCCCGAGTTACCTGAACCTGAAAATGTGTCCCAAACGTGGGGTGAGATCTCTAAACAGAAATCTCAGTAAGGCAAGGGGTCCTCAAGGATTTCTCCACCCCAAGCTCACTTACATGTGCAATATAAGTTCTAAAAACAATAAACAATATCAGTTCCAAAATCAGTGCAATGCAAACATATAATCATGTCATATGTGTCAATATTATTCTACTGGCCAGAGAAATGCAGGATTTATATACGTCTATTACCCACATTAGTGCAAGACGCCACTTGCACCCACCCACTGGATCACCGTATTGTATGACGCCATATACTCAGGCTTACTGTCTAATTGGAACAACACATACATACTATAAGCAATTGCACATAAAGCTCAACAACATTTCCAATATCAAAGCATGTAAACACATCATGCATATAAACCATTCCCTCATGGGGTATGGTGGAACCACACAGTGGCTAAACCGAGGAGACGAAAGCTTACCTTACAAGCTAACTATCCAAGCCAAGAGTCCACACAAGCTCAAGGCCCACAAACAGCACAATCACAATCTGTTTATACAATAATTAATCATCAATAATCATTGCTCAAGATTCCATTAAGTGATTAAGGCTTTCTAACTTATTTTAAGTCATTTCATGCTGTTTCTGCAGGAGGTATTCAAATACTCCTCGAAGAGTATTCGAATACTCCAAGTCTCCAAAAAGTATTCGACTACTTTCACTTAAGTATTTGAATACTACAAGGTATTCAAATACTTTCCCACTCAGTATCCGAATACCCCCAAGGTATTCGAATACCAAACTAACTGTATTCAAATACTCTCTAGTATTCGAATAATTCTTCATAGGTATCCGAATACTTTTCTTCCCAAAAAAGTATTCCAATACTCCCCCAAGGAGTATTCGACTACCAAGGGATAAGTATTTGAATACTGCACGAAAAGTATTCGAATACTTATCAGACATAATGCAGAAACTCGAGCATTCTTCTGCATAAGTCCAATTTTAAGAGTTCAAATGCGATTGGGAGTCCAAAAACTCCCTAAACAGATATTCATTAACATGTTATGAACTCAGAAAATCAGTCTTTTACTTAAATGATCAAAACTAGAAAATGAGTGCTCTTGGAGCTCTCAAGACAGTCCCACAACACTGACTTTCAAGGACCATGAAAATGAGCACCAAGGAAGGACCTTTTACTCCAAAAGTGGCTTCTTGAAGCCTAAAATACAATGACAATGGCTTCCCCAAGGAGAACACAACTCAGCCCCCACTACCTCACCAAATAGCATCTAAACTTAGAAAACAAGTGCTTTTCTCCCACCCAAGCCTCAATCACACTCAACCATGGTGATTTGATGAAGAAATAATGGAGAAAGGTGGTCACTTTGAGCTTTTTCTTTGGAGGAATAAAGGTGGCTGATAGGATCTCCAGCAACAAGGGTCACGTAGGATTAGAATATGGCCTAGGGTTTTGGGCCAAAATGAGTATTTATAGCTCATTTAAATTTAAACATACAGTATTAACACTAATAGCTACGCTTAGCATTTTAATCTCAAACTTTAGATTCTGAACCTAGCCATTTTTCTAGGATTTTTCATATTTTTATTTTATTTTTCGCAGCACTTTTCGTTACGCGCTTTTACTTAACCAGTATCAGTTCTGACACCAGTTCTCATTATTTCGACTTGAAACTTGAAATCACAGTCCTATATATTATTCCGAGATACTTCATCGGTACGCACTTATACCGTGGAGCAGAACCGAATCTGCACTTTTCGTAAGAAAAGCGACTTTCAGCATTAATAATTACTTTCTATAATTATACAAGTCTTCTAATAATTATTAGGGTCAATTATGGAATTATCTCATAATTATTTAATTAAATTCCTTAATTAACAGTGCGGGTTCTTACACAACGCTCCGACAACTTTTCAAAGGTGTATGCTTTCTATCTTTTCTGATATGGTTGAAAAATCCATTGAAATCTTCATGGGTGATTTTTTTTGTTTTTGGTCCCTTTTTTTACACTTGTTTAGAAAATCTGTCATGTGTTTTACAAAGATGTCTGGAGAGTAATCTTGTTTTGAACTGGGAAAAATGCCTCTTCATGGTAAAAGATGACATTGTTTTAGGACACAAGGTGTCCAAAGATGGTATAGAAGTTGATAGAGCTAAAATATCTGTTATTGAGAAACTTCCCCCTCCCTCTAATGTTAAAAGTATTCGAAGTTTCCTCGATCATACAGGTTTTTACAGGCGCTTTATGTAACACCTCGTATATATCCGGTAATGTTATCATACTATCGTATTAAGCAGCGCTTAATTAAAAATGCGAAATATCTTTTTCTTTTCAATTATGATGTCATTATCATTACCAACTTGCTTATTAATCAATTAATAAAACATCGCCTGTATGTAATTGCAATAAAATAGCTAACTGAAATACCTCATAACATAGATAATAAAAGTGTGGCTCTAGTCACGGAACTACAACAACATAGACCGGACCATATAACAATTTATACAACTCCAATCTAAAAGTACTAACATAAAGTGTCATGGACAATCCCCATGCTCACTCAAATAAGGCAACACGCCCAACATCAGTCTCAACAACAACATAAACATACATAGCAGAAAACATAAACAGCATCCAAATCCAGTCATGGCAGCAATACAACAAAATATCATAATCAGCTAAGCTCTGGCCTCCTGCCGCCAGAGGCATCAGTCACCATATATACTACCTGAACCTGAAATAAGCATTCCCCAAACGTGGGGTGAGATCTCTAAACAAGAAATCTCAGTAAGACAAGGGGTCCTCAAGGATCTTCCACCCCAAGCTCACTTACATGTGCAATATAAGTTCAAAAGCAGTTTATCATCATAAGTTCTAAAATAGTGCAATGCAGCAGATAATCATGTCATGTGTATCAATTCTATTCTACTGGCCAGAGAAATGCAGGATTTATATATGTCTAATACCCACAAATAGTGCAAGATGCTACTTGCATCCACCCCGGATCACCGTCTTGTATGACGCTACATACTCAGGCTTACTGTCAAGATGGAACAACGCATGCATGTTAAAAGCCATTACACATAAAGCTGAACAGCATTTCAAATTATCCAAAGCATGTAACACAACATGCATATAACCAGATCCCCATGGGACATGGTGGAACCACAACATGGCTAAACCGAGGACACGAAAGCTTACCTCGCAAGCTAAAAACCCAAACCAAGGTCCACACTAGCTCGAGGTCCACAAACAGAACAATCAATATCTGTTTTAGACCTACAATTATATCAATATTCATATTCTAATATTTTACCATGATAAACAGAATTTCCAGCAACCAAAACGCGACTTATAATAGACACTGCGATCAAACCACTGATCCAATGGCTACGAAAATTTACAGAGTTGTAGCCTTATGTGTTAGCTTCACATAGGTCCAAGATATCGAATATTTACTAAAACAGGTTCGTTGCTGTCCAGACCAAAATATCGGGATATCTCCAACTGAATATCGGGATATCTGATATCCGGATATTTCCAACCAAATATCGGGATATCCGATATCCGGATATTTCCCACCAAATATCAGGATATCTGATATCCGGATATTTACAACCAAATATCCGGATATTTCGCGTCAGAATGCAGATTTTGCATTTCGCGAGATATCAATCCCAAGGGTCCATTTTTAACACTTAAACACGTTAAAGCATGCATTTTTAGGCACATTAAAGTTCATACAACTGATGGTTACTTGCTTAACTCATTAAACATGCCAAGACATCAACTTTAACCCATTAAACTCATGATCAAATGTTAGACAACTCACCCAAAGCTCAACCAGCCAACATAGGGTGCTCTTGGAGCTCACAAGACAACTCCAAGGTTCTGACTTCTTCAAGAAACGAAAATGTAAGTTGAAGGTTGGTCCTTTCTTCGCAAAGAACACACCTTGAAGCTTAACAAGCCAACTCGGAGGTTCCCACAACTCAACTCTCCAACTCAGCCCTCAAAGCTGACTTCCAACAGCCTCTAAACTCAGAACACAAGCTCTCTACACACTCACAAGGCCACTCACACAAGGCTCAAGTGTTTGGAGGTGAAGAAACCAAGCAAAAGGTGATTACTTGGCCAAGAAATGGAGAAGAAGGCCTTTGGACACTATTCTGGTCAGCCACCCTCTCCCAAGCCACGTACATGCAGTAGTTATTTAGGGTTTTGTGCCCAAGTGTGCCTATTTATAGTGATTTAACATTTAAACACACAGTATTAACTTTAATTGCTACGCTTAGCATTTTAATCCCAAACTTTGGATTCTTAACCTACTCAATTTTACAAGAATTATCATATTTTTCTTATAATTTTCTGAGCACCTTTCCGGTACGCGCTTTTCAAAGCCAGTACCGGTTTCTAGCACCAGTTCTCATTATTTGGACTTGAAACTCATTTTACAAGTCCTACATATTATTCTAGTAATTATCATGCACTTATTATAATTTTCCGGGATA